AAGCACACATAAAGCAACAAAATGCTTTGTTGTTCATGTTTTGATTACTGTATTTTTGATTGCAGAAACAAAATAAACAGGAACATTTTATAATCTATTCAACTTTATATTGGTTTTATGTTAATATTAGGCAATATTTTATTATAACAAATGTACAAAATAATAACAGTTGTAAAGATTCTTGGCAAAACAACCTAACAGGGTTTTAAATTATTGTAGTTCATTATTTCTTTGTGTAGTCATTCAGTAAACACTGAGGACCAGGCTCTACTGGCCACCCTGAATAAAGAAAAGTACCTGTCCTGCAAGTACTCACAGAGCAGGAACATACGGTATAGTATAATGTAATAGGTGACAGTACAAATAAGTGCAGGGAGCTGTGGGAGCATATAAGATGGGAGCCAAATACAGATCTGGTGGGGAGGAGGAGAAGGAAAGTATTTTGGTATAAGAGAGATTTAAAATAGGAAAGTGGGAGGAACTTACGGATTTTTTTTTTTAGTTCTGTTCCTAACATTGGGCTTGATCATTATCATGTTTTGGAGATTTTTAAAAGTTATGTTAGTGGCAGAGATGTATGTAGTAAACTCAGTGCAGAGAGATAATAACGACAGCAACTAAAATATATTCAGTGTTTACCATGGTGGTTAAGAGAGCGAGGATGGGAACCAGGCTGCTCGACTTTTAAACCCACTTCTGTCAAATTTTTGCTGTGTATTCTGATTTAGGCATGTTAATTGTGCTATTTCCCTTTTCTGTAAAATGGGAGTGATTCTCATCTGTATGTCATAGGTCTGTTGTGAGGTTTCAATGACTTAATTCTCTAAAGGACTTGGAAGAGAGCTTGCCTGTATTGAGTGCTCAATAAACATTCACTAATATTACTCCTTGGGTAATCTCATTTAATTTTTTCAGTAATCTTATTAGTATGAACCTTTCCTCTTCTATCCTGCTCCTCAAAGCTTGGTAATTTGGCTGATTGTAGAACTACCTCTTCTGACACCTTTTCTATTTCAAACATTGCTGTGTGTTATTGAAAAGGTAGCGTGATGGACAGAATAATGGCCACCAAGGTGTCCACATCCCAGTCCTGGAAGCTGTGAACACAGTACCTTACGTGCCAAAAAGGAATTTGACAGTGTGATTACATTAAGAGCTTGAGATGGGAAGATGATCCTGGGTAGTCGCAAGGGGCCTCACAGAGGCAGGAGAGTCAGATAAGGAGCTGTGACCAAGGAGGTGGAGGGACAGAGTCAGAGATTGAAAATGGTGCACTGCTCCCCATGAAGATGAAAGAGGCAGCCACGAGCCAAAGAATGTAGGCAGGTTCTAGAAGCTGGAAGTACAAGGAAATAGATTTTCCCCTAGAGCCTCTGAGCAGAACGTGGCCCTGCTGGCGTCTTGATTTTGGCCTGGTCAAACCCATTTTGAAATTCTGACCTCCAGAACTATAGTTACTTTGTGTCATTTTAAGGCACTGAGTTTGTGGTAATTTTTCACAGCAGCAATAGAAAACAAGTACAGGGCCGGCCCGGTGGCGCACTCAGTAGAGTGCGGTGCTTGGGGGCGCGGTGACGCTCCCGCCGAGGGTTCGGATCCCATGTGGAGACTGGTCCGCTCGCTGGTTGAGCGCGGTGTGGGCGCGACACCAAGGGTTGCGATCCCATTGCCGGTCGCGGTGCGGGAGCGACACTGAGGGTTGCAATCCCATTACCGGTCATGAAAAAAGACAAAAAAGAAAACAAGTACAGGTAGGCATTATTCCCGTTTGACAGATGAGGAAATGAGCTCTGGGTGGGTAGGCTATTGCCAAGGCTATTGAACACTTTGGGATGTGTGCAGGGCTTGTGGATTGATACAGGTCTTTTGGTGGATGTAAGTAGTCACCCAGGGAGGGACTAGTCTTTATGATTCTGTGTGCAGCCTTTCGGCCAGACTCTGGGTTAGCCTCCCTCCTGCAGCTTACTGTGAGTCCAAGACCTGAGCCTTCTGGGGATCTTAGGACCATAGATTGACTCTCTTTTCCTTGAGACATCATTCTTGCAGATAGCCCACCACTAGCTTTTCCACTCTGTGAGTCACTTAACACCTTTCTAACCCCTTTTCTTCTTCCAAAAATGTTAGAAATCTCTTCTGCACTGATTCCTATTACATTCTTCCTGTCTTTGTGAATTTATGCTTTTCTTTTTCTTTTCCTTTTTTTTAGCTGCTGGCTGGTACAACGCTGGAACCCTAGACCTTGGTGTTATCAGCACCATGCTCTAACCAACTGAACTAACTGGCCAGTTAATGCTTTTATTTTTCTTCTTTTACTCTCAGCGAGAATTCATCAGGAAACAGTAATCAGTAGCCAGTCAGCCACTCTTCGCCCAAGCAACCTATTAATTTTTGACCCGAGGCAGTGCCTCTTCTCACTTCAGGGTCCTCAAAAGATGGCAAACAGTAACATAAGTTCAGCCAAGATTACCACAGTGAAAAAATGTTTCCCATGGTGTTTATGAAAGCACCCACAGTTCTTGCAACTCTTTAGTGACCTTTCCATGCAAGCTTAAGGGTATAACAGTAGGTAGGAGGCAAAGTACTCCTACACACCCTGCCAAAATATATATAAAATGGATAAGTTTCATATTTTGGATAAATGCCTATGAATTCAAGTATACTTTTAAAAAATATCTAGGAATTTATTCCCACTCTCATGAACTCCTTCTCCATGTTTGAGGAGAGAAGGGAAATCACAATGCATAGTTTTTTGAGGATGCATGTGTGTGCGTGCCAGTGTCATGGTGTTCATAAGGACGTTTTATTAAAACTTGTGATTATTGAGAATATCTATTAATAAAATTGGTCATTTAATAAGGAATACACTGAATATGATTAATTAAAATTTTAAAACTTGCATTTTTAAACAATTATTTTTCAGACCTCATCACAGGCAATAGTAACAAGGGGAACAAGTAAATAATTAAGAGAATATGAAAAACTTTAGTGTTTAAATCATAATGCAAGATATGTTTACCTTTTAACTTATGTTAACAAATTTCATGCCTGTATGCAAGTGAAAATTTTAACTGTTAGGTCTTTACAAACAGATATGTACAGATTTTCTTTCTTATTCTCATTTGTGTACAAGAATAATTGAACCCTTTAAAATCTGTTCTTGCATTCTACCTCATTCATCCATAAAGGATTAAAGATGAATAATACTACATTGGATCCTTATTTTAAGTGTTCAGTTCCCAGCTTTCTTACTGTACTTCCATTCCTCTTTAACTCCCTCTTATACAAAAAGCATTTGAATGAATGAAACTGATGTTGTAGCAAGAATCCTGAATTTATTATGCTTTACCAAAATGAGTAATTCTTTGCACAAAGTTGCTGTGTTTCAAAATGATCATGTTAGACCCCTATGTATCCACATGGAGGCTGAGAATTATTAACCTGGAGCTTTCTGTGAAGAAAGGAAGAGGCTAGTTATTTCTTACATTAGACTACAAAGGAAGTTAAATGACAGAGTGTATTAGTCTGTTTGTGTTGCTATAACAGAAATACCTGAAACTGGGTAATTTATAAAGAACAGGTTTATTTGGCTTACGATTCTGGGACAGCTGCATCTGGCATGGGCCTCAGGCTGCTGCTTCTCATGGCAGAAAGTGGCAGGTAGCTGGAGGGTGCAAGCAGATCACATGGTGAGAGGAAGCAAGAGAGAGAGGAGGTGCCAGGGTCTTTTAAACAATCAGCTCTTGCGGGAACTAATAGAGTGAGAACTCACTCACTACCCCTCCTCCCCCAGGGAGAGCATTAATCCATTCATGAGGGATCTGCCCTTGTGACTCAAACAGCTTCCAGCACATTGGGGATTAGATTTCTGCGTGAGTTTTGGGGGGACAACACATCCAAACTCTATCACAGAGGGAGATGACTTGATGTGGCACTGAGCTTTACAAGAGAGGCAATAATTATATGCTATAAGGTAGTTCTGATTGTCAAAGAACAGAATTTCAAGAAATTAAGTTTAATGATCTAATCGTCTTTTATTAGTGATTCATGAGTCAAGCAGATTCCCATCTATGAAACCGAAAGGCGCTCTGATGAACTGAACAGAGGGGGTTGACTTTATAGGCAGAAAAAGACTGAATTAGGAACAAAAGAGCAGGTGGATCATTTCAAAGTTGTCTTTACAGAGTTAAAGCAGAGGCGACTTCTTTATCATGCCTGCTCAGGTAGACTAGGCCCCTTTCTATTGGTTCCAACCTGTTTCTTAGAAAACTGACTCATTTTAAAATTCAGTTTAATTACGTGTCACCTAGCACGAGTAACTGCATTCTGGTTTGGTCTGGTCTCTTGGGCTTAGTGCAGGAGCTCAGTCCAAAATGATGGCCTCCTTTAAATTTTATTTAATATGATTAATACCTGTGTCAATACAGTGAATATCATTTTTTTTTTTACCTGCTTACTAAAGGGTTTGAAGATTCAAAGAGTATAACACGAAGATTCTCAGATAAAAGGAATTTGGTAGAATATTTAGTTTTTTGCTACTAGTGAATATAAGCTGTTGGAATAAACATACTCTAAGTTTAGCATGTGTTTTATGTTTATTCCATCCATTAATTCATTTAATGAATATTGATTGCACAAATGTTATGTATCAGCCACTGATCTGAATGCAGTGTTAACAGCAGTGAACAGTGCAAGACAGGAGGGAACAAGCAGAGCACGTTAAATAACTTGGATTTTATTCTACCTACAGGGAGGCCATGAGAGGATTTTAAGCAGGAAAGTTACGTAATTTGGACATATGTAATAAATTACATAATTTGTAAATAGATCACTCTGGCTTCTCTGCACACTGTGGATTATTTGGAGAAACAAAGAAGAAGTTGGAAGACTGGGAGGAGGTTATTAAAGTGGTCCAGGGGAAAGTTGATGGTGGCTTGGGATGAGGTTGAAAAAGAGGAAATTCAGAGCAGTGGAGACCTTCAGAAAGCAACATCAATAAGACGATGGAACAGATGGATGTAGATATAGGGGACTTGATGGTGGCTTGGGATGAGGTTGAAAAAGAGGAAATTCAGAGCAGTGGAGACCTTCAGAAGGCAACATCAATAAGACGATGGAACAGACGGATGTAGATATAGGGGACAAGGGAAGGAAAAGAGTCAATCATGATTTCATTGTTCTAGGCCTGAGCAAGTATGTAGGTGGTAAAGATAGATGTCTGGAGAAGAGCAGATTTGGGGAGTGGGGAGTGGGATTCTACAGGTCAAATAGGAAGTTAGATTTTTAGTCAGCAATTGAAGCGTGAGGTCAGGGTAGGAAGGATAGATTTGGGCTTCACTGGAATAGAGATGGCATTTAAAGGCAGGGAGTAGATGACATAATGCCTGTGCACATAGAAAAGAGAAAGGATCCTAGTACTTTGTCCTGGAATACCCAAAATGTAGAGGTCAAGCAAGAATGGATTTAGCAATTAAAACTAAGGAGAGACCATGGGTATAGAGACTAAGAGAGAGGATGGTGTCATAGAAGCCAAAAAAAAAAAGGGTTTCAAGAAAGAACGTCATTACCCGTCCAGTGCTTCTGAGAGAATGATTTCTTTATGAAAAGTCAAAATCCACTCTAGATTAGTTTCATGCTAATAATTGAGTTTCTAAGAGAGTTAACAGAACCTGTAGTGTCTTGTCAGGTGTAATGGTTATAAAGCATAAAATCCTCAGACAAATTTTTCCTTGTTATGAGTTCCACCAACTGGGATGTATTATCACTGGAGGACCTTTCAAAAGTACTACATTTAGGAAATCTTCCTTATAATGCTCCTTTGTATTGCTTACATGAAGAGAGACATTTCATTTATCACTGTCAAGGTCTACTCAGGTAGCAGTTTGCATTCAGTGGGGATCTAGGCCCGATGTTGAGGGAAGTTGTGTGTTTGCCCTTCTGATCTCTTTTGGTGTTTTCTTAGCTCCTCAAGCTTCATCATCTTCATATGGCAGTTAGGCTGCAATTAACAAAAAGCCCGTAATAACATTGGCTTAAATGAGAAATATTTTTTCTTTCAGGGCTGGTCGGTCACTCTGCTCAGGCCTTTCCAGCTCTCCTCTTCCTTATGGTTCAGGGTCGTATACTTGTTTCCAACAAGAAGGAAGAATGGAGGAAGAAGGTGGCAAAGGGACACTTGCCAGCTGCCTCTTAAGGGACAATTCCAGCAGCTGTGGCAGGACACTTTTGCTTGTAACATATTGGACAGTACTTGATTATATCATAATTCCTTGGAACAGGGGAGGCTGGGAAATACAGTCTTGATTCAGGGCAGCAACGTTCCAAGCTAAACATTCGGTTTCTATGAAAAAAGGCATGAATAAATATTTGGGTCAAGGAACAGTATCTGCTCAACCATCCAGTGCCTCACATCATAGGAGTCTGTTTCCTTGAAATACACCATACTCTTGAGGTCGGTTTTCCTCTTTCCCTTCCCCGCACCGTAGCTATTTGACATGGAATCTTTGAGAATGGGAAAATGGCAACTCCTCCTCCAGGTCAAGCTGTGCTAGGGTGCAAATCTTCTTGAACAGAGTGCAGGCTAGATAACTGCTCCCTTGGGAACCCTCAGCCTGTAGCCCTTGTACAGTGCACAGTTTACACAACCATACATGACAACCGTAGTTGTTTGCTCTAATATGTCTTCTGTGTCCTTTGCTACTTGCAGGGAGGAGAGCAGTCTAATAATCTAATTAAAGAAATTTGTTTGAGGTAAAAAGTATTGATTTTTTTACCTTCCCCATGAGGTATGTGTGAAATATTTTTGAGTTGGAGTAAAACTTTTCCAGTCCTCTAATATCCCTCTGTGTGAAATTTTCCATTGGCAGTGTCTCTGCTCCTAAGACAGGTCTATCTCACTTGGGATAGTTTTTGTTAGGAGGTTGCAGCAATGGGTGCCTCCTCTGTTTCAGAAAATATGACATTTCAATACCAGTGGGTATAGGAAACTGGTTTTTTTCCTTCCTGGAGGTAGAGTTAGCTCTTGTCATGTAATCATACCCTGATAGATGATTTATTGGAATATGAAAATTGGCTAGCTATTTAAGAAGCATTAAGCTAATTGTGGCTTCTGTGGCAGTCTATGTATTTTGTAATTTATTTCAGAGTACATAATTTGCATAGTTGAGAGAGAAAATATTCAATTCATTGAATCTCCCCTCTCATTTTTTTTCTTAATTTCAAAGGTTGAGCTCCTATGATTTCTTAAATAATCAGCTGGATTGTTCTGTGCCTTCCATTGTCTGTGGCTGATTAGTTCAGATGTGTGGAGCATAGTTGCAATAGCTTCTACTAATATGGGAATGAGGCTGATAATATTCTGTGGTTGAACCTGTCTCCTTCTCTTGTAACTCCTTAGGTGTTTTCTATAGCAATATAGGCTTATAAATTCATAGAAATGCTTTATCATTAGTGCAAAAAAGTTCTTATTGGTTGCTAAGAAATCATGCCTTTGCATGCAAAATGTAATAACTTAAACTGCTAAAGCTGTGTTCTGACTTTTCTATCTCTTTTTTATAGGCAGTTCTTGTGAGATACTTTGTTCTTTATATATTTTATGTTCTCTGTGTATCCATACTCGTATCATTCTTTAAAAATTATGTAGCTTTGTAATAACATTAAAAAACATGACTAAGTAGATGAAACAAATTTTATTTTTCATGCCCAAGCTGTTTCATTTTTCTTTATGTCCAATTAAGATATGCTACAGTATTCTTAGTGAATGTTTCATTATAATATTTGAAGGATGAACAGCTGTTCTGAACAGTTGTTTTTGAGAACATTTTTGAAATTACCAAAATCTGCTTTAAAATTACCTATATTTGTTTTTTTTTCTGCCATTAATTTCTAATTAATGTTACTGCCACTGAAAACTGAAGTTCTATTGTTAAGGAAAGAGTTTTTAAAGTAATCAAATTTTGCAGTAAGCCAGATGTGATACTAATGTTAGAAGACGTTGTGGTACAGACTTGTGTGTTCACCAAAGCCCTTCTCCCCTGGGTACATAGCTAGACTATATTTCCAGCCTCCCTCGCAGTTAGGTCTGAGCATGCACCTGACTACCAGGCAGTGGAATGTGGATCGAAATGATGTATGCCATTTTTTGGTGTGGCCCATGAAATCCTTGTCCCTGACGTGTCCTGTTTTCTGTGCATGTGATTGCATGCAGAGGAGGATGAAGCCTTACTTAACAGATGGTTGGACACAACAGTCAATAAGCCTGGGTCCCTCAATGACTGTGTGGAGCATAATCTCCCCCCTTTCTCCATATACTGTGATGTGGATGAAAAATCAATCTTGATTGTGTTAAGCTACTGAAATCTGGTATTATTATATTATTTGCCTGCCCTAATATAAGAATTGATACTAAAAAAGATATGCTTTGCAGACCCCTTGTAACCATGAAATCCAGCTGTGTGCCTTGGAGGAATGGAAATGAGATTTGGTGAATACAGAGCATTGTCTCTGGCAGAGATATTTTGCCAACATTTTCAGGCATGAATGTTTTGTGTGCTTAAAATAGATTTTATGCATCTGATATTATTCCAGCTCTTCCCTAACTGTGCAATGGGATGTGAGTTGTATATTCACCAGGAATGTTTGGGACAATCCAGCATCAAGAAGGCATTTCAGTTCACTCTAAATCATGAATATTTCTGCAGCAGATAATTAACTTCAGTAATTGTATTGTTTTATAGCCAGCTTACTGGAATAATCTGTAATGTGTCTTGGCAGCAGTGAACAGTTATCAGACGCCATTTGAAATAATTTACTGATTAAAGATAAGAGTTATTAATTTTTGCCCAGCCTTTTCACTTGATGAATGTTGAAGTGTATTTTTGCCTCTTAAGTGTGGTAATAGTTTTTTCTTTACTTGCAAATATTAGCAATAAGCTAAAAATTCCTTTCCTTTGAGAATTCACTCTTAGAAAAATTTTATCGTTTGGTTCTTTGAATATCTGATGTTTTAAAATCTATTCACTTAGAGTCCTGGGGTGAAGTCCTGTCTTTCCTTTTTTAGGAAACAATGGAAAGATATTAGATTTTTTCTCAAGTGTTTAATTCTGTGTATTCTCTACTAGGCATAGATTGTTCTCTCTCAGTTTCTAGATCAAACAGTTGCCTTCTCAAGACTTTGATGATGATAATTATGATAATTATAACATCAATATGATTTCAGTGTTTGGATATTAAAAGCCAGAAGAGGCCTTTCTTTTCTAAAAGAAGTGGTTGTTTTTTCTTGGCTGATCCATATTTAATTTCACTTAGGTAGTTTTGGTTCTGGAGTACTAGGTTGTTGTGCTAGTTCTTGTGTGTGATATCAGATAAACCTCTTAGCCTCTCTGTTTTTTCTTGTTCATTCATACTTATACAATGAAAAGTTAGGAAGCCGCCTTTAAATCTTTATTATTTGTTGAATTTATGATTGACCCTTGGGGGGTAGTACCTTTGCCATTGTGGTAATAACCCCACAATTAAAGGAAATAATAAGTTCTTGAAGAAGGTATTAAGAAAGGAAGGTAAAAGAGAAAAGTAAGTGAGAAAAATAAAGGAAACAAAAAATTATACATCAGTGAGGAATATTTTCATATTTCTCCAATAGGCTTATTTTTATCTTGTTAGGTTTTAAACAAATCTTCTTTTAAGAAGAAGGGGGGGATTTAAAAAAAGTTTTCTACTTAGTGAAAGTTTTAAACCCTTGATTCATTGAAATGTTTTCTAAAATTTATTTATGAGAAACTTAGTTTCCCTTTTAAATTTTATGTAGAGAATTTGAAATCCTCCAGAAGGAATTATTCTCTTTGGGCCAACATTCATCTGTGCAGTGACGTGTCTATAAATACTCTTCAGGATCAACTGTAGAAATTCCAGAAAATATGATTGTCTATTTGCATTACATGCCTTTCCTTTCTGCTTTTGGAATGAACAAACAAATATAGCTCAGTGAAATTATATTATATGTGTGAAAATTGATTCTTTACTTTTACCTACCTCATTAAGCATGCAAATTGCTAACTTTTCAGCAGATGCATTTAAAATAAATTATAGCTAATCAAATGTGTTGCTTTAGAAATTTCTTTTTAAATGACA